GAGCTCAATGATTTCGTACTAAGGAAAGTGTTCGAAAATACCAAAGAATGGAAAGCCGGAAAGCTAGGAGCCAACTGGGAAGGGCCTTACAAGATAATTGAAGTCGTTAAACCAGGAGTCTATCGATTGGAAACATCTTCAGGAGAGCGATTGCCACGGTCTTGGAATGCCTCGAATCTCCGTAAATATTATTCCTAAGCCAAAACTGGCGATCGAACGCCAAAAAAAAAAAAAAAAAAAACGGCCGAGCGATCGCTATCACACACAAACGAGCGACCAATCGGCCAACAAAAAAAAAAGAAAAAAAAGAAAAAAAGAAGACCGAGCGATCGATATCACATTTGCCCTTTCCCCGGAAAGGCAAATGATCTATCACTCGGCCAAATCGAACTACGAATGGCTTGATCCCTCTCTTTGGGTACGTAGGCAGCCTCTCACGAGGTCCAGTTATAATCCAAACCAAAAACAAAAAAAATCGATCGCCCTCCGATGCTAAAGGAGGTCGATCGATCGTCCATCCGGTAATAAAACCAATGGAGGTCAGAGTGAGGATGACGATCAATCGCCCATCTAACACTGAAGGAGCCGGCTGATCGATTTCCGACCATGTGGCAATCGATCGTCATGAGCTATTCTCAAGAACGAAACGGGAAAGCGAAGGCACTGAATATAAAAAAAAACTTAGTCCGAGAAGTTCAACGTGAAGCATAAAGACAACAACAACAAACCGCAACAAAGCGGAACCAAATCCAGAAAGTGCATCAAACAAAGGGCCGAAAGACCAAAAACACAAACGAAAGATGAAAGTAAAACAACAACAACAGACGAGTCAAGCGCTCGGCTCAACCGGATCGGCGACCGGTCGCTCGGCAGAAACCTTCACTCCCTCGGCAGCGCCTCCCATCTCCCCAACTAGAACCTCCTCGCCAATTCCAGCAACTTCGTTTGGTGCTCCTCCTGCATCGGCATCGATCGAACGGACGACACCACGCGAATCCGACACAGCAGTAATAGTCTCAACGACGGCCGTCGGGGAACGAAGGGAGACCGCGGTCGTAGAATCGACCAACCCCAAGTTCGTCCCGAACTGATCAAGGCCCTGAAACGGTCCGGAACGGGGAGGAGATAAAGAGAGATCTCGCTCCGTGATTTCCTCAACATCGGCCTCCTCAACCTCCCGCTTGAACTTCTTCTCATTAAATGTCAAAGTATCCCTCATCCTCTGTGGAATTTGCTGACCTCGCTTCTCTAGCACATCCAACGACTGCAAAGTCCCCAAAGCCTGAGCATGGAAAAAGAGCTTCGTCTCAAGCTTGTCTCGGTCAGCCATGTACTTCCGAAATTTGTTGAAGCGCGCGGCAGCGGCTGTCATAAGACGGCCTCTCTCAGATGTAACCTCACGAATGCGACCCTGCTTCATGAAATCCACCAATCTCCTATGCTTCTCGGTTTCCTCGACCTTCTCACGCTCCAGCTGCGCAATTTTAGTTCGAGCGTTCTCCAAATCCTCCTCAAGACCATCGGCCTTCTCGATAGCCTGCTTACGCTCGCGCTGGATCCGGCTCCGCTCCACAGCCATCTCCTTCGCCCTCTCCAAAGCACTCTTCCGGGCCTTCTCCAACTCCACATTTTGCGTTTTGATCGTTGCCTCAGCCTTCCTAAGATCCAAGGCCATTTTCCGCATAGCAAGCTCACACTCGAGGACAAGGAAGTTCTTACGAGCAGAGGCCTACAAAACAAAGACTACGTTGGTTATCACAGAAAAAATATATATAAAGGAGGACGATCAAAACACATAAAGGGAGGGCGATCGATTTTAAAAAAAATATAATAATAAATAAATAATAAAACAAATCATACCACGGCATCCGCGCGGGCCGACTCAGCAAACGACCGTGGGAATGCAAGATCGCCGACCTCCGGCATTTCGCTCGAGCCACCCCGGATATGGCGGGATAACTCAGCGCATGCCCCCTCATCATTGACAAAAGCCGTGTCGTCCTTGTGATGAAAGCTCCAACGCTCTGATTGGGCCAACGGCGGCTTCCCGTTTGGTGGACCCGATCCACTCCAAGGAAGGTTACGAGAGACTGGCACAGCAACTTCCTGAGGAGGAGGGGCAGGTCGCCCGTCATTACCCTTCGACCGCTTACTCCCGGAGTCGCTAGGGCGATCATCGATCGGCCTCTTCTTCTTCTTCATCGCTGACGGACCAGTGCGATCCTCGCCAATCGAGCCCGTTGCTTCCACGACCTCACGATTCCCTTCGGTAGCATCACCTGAAGGACCCTCATGAACAACTTCATCTGCGGCAACTTCCATCTCCGGAGAGTCGGGCTTCGTTCTTTTAGACAACCTACTCTTCTTCTTTTTCTTCTTTGAAACAACATCAACATCACGGTTAACCGCCTCATCTACCGCTGAATCTTCTACCGGAGGATCATCTCCCTCATTGTGTGAACCCCTGGCCTTCTCGTTCTCCGCCTCCAACGCTGCAGCAGGGTCGAAACTCTCATCACCCAGCTGGGAATCCAAGAGCTCACTGAAATTAGGATATACTCGCGGAATTCTTCCCATCAGTGGAAGCGGCAACCTTCTTTTCCCTTTAGGATCCTCACAAGGAATATCGGACGCCCAATCAACTGAAACCAGAAAACGTGAACAATCAAGCCAAAATGCACAAATCACACGATCGGTCGGCCGGCAAGGGTGATGAAACAGCAAAGGATCGGTCGGTCGGAAAAATAAAAAAAAGAAGAAGAAAAAGAAGGAGGGAGAAAGAAAAATTACCTTTCGAAATCCGATCACGCTGATTGCGAATCCTCCTCCGGTCGAAATCGTCCCACTCGCTCCGATCAAGCACATCAATCTTCGTCACAACTTCCCAAAAAGGCTCGGGATAGTCGATGATGTTCGGATGACCAACTGCAAAATAAAAACAAAGAAATGAACGTCAAACAACGAGTTAAAAAGATCGATTAGTTTGACCCCAGGAACGTGTAACTACCAATGCGGTAGTTCCATAAAGTGCGAGAACGGTCATCAGGCGGTTCCTCGAAAGTAGCCTCATCGGCTTTAATATAGAAGTACGAGCGTTGCCAATGCGTCGTTTTCGACGGATGACCAGCTAAAATGTGCAAGCCTGCACGCATCTGCAACGCATACAAGTCGAAAGGTTTCGGTTGAATCTGTGTCAATTCCTCAAAAACCCGGACGCTCATCGGAAGATCCACCTCAGCTGCCATTACCATCAGAGCAACAGCCATCCTAACTACCCCGTTCATCAATTGAGACATAGGAAAATCTCGACGCGCACAATAAGAAGTAATCAAACGAGGGATGGGAAACCATAGTTTGGCGTCTTTCTCAAAGAAAGACTCATAAACGCAATGAAAACCAAAGGGAGGAGTCCAAGGCCGTTGATCGGGGCGCGGAACGACAAACGTAACACCATAAGCTCTACGACCCCTGAGCAATCGAGCAACTCCCTCTTCAGTGCACCACGACGGCGAGACGTCGCCCCAATCCTGCCCTTCTACCACGGACGGTCGAACCCGGTCTAAGGGAATGTCCGGAAGCTGCTCAATCACCCCATTCCTATGATAGTAATAAGGGATCGATCGACGAGCGGTGATAGAATCGGCCGGCAATCGGCCGGCATCCCTTTGCCCCGTCGCTCTACCTCCCTCCACAACCGGTCGCCGCGCCTCGTCGACACTAACCGGAGGACGATCGACATCGCTTCCCGCCAAGGAGGCGTCTCCCACCTCCTTCGCATCGTCCTCCTCCGAATCGCCAATACAACACTGCCCATCTCCGTCCCCACGAGCGGAGCCGTCCGTCCCTTCCACCCGAGCGAAATCAGCACAGGCGGCGTCGGTCGGGACACCGCGGTAAGCCCTAGCCGCCGAGCTCAACAGCTTCGAGCCGGGCGGCGCTTCTCGCGGGGGACTTGGCGCAGATCTGCTCTCTTTCCCTTTCTCTAACAAAGTCAATTTCTCCTTGAGTTCATCCATCGATCGGTCGGCCAGAACGAACCACCGGAAGAAATCAACAAAAATATCCCCACCGGAATCGAAGATCCGGCGGCCAGCAACAAAAAAAAAAGAGAGAAAGAAGGTGGAGAAAGAGAGAGGGAGAGAGAGAGAGAGAAATACCTGGTAATGGAGAGCAATAAAAAATGAGAGGAAGTTATCTCATTTATAAGGGAAGTCACGGGAATCGAGGTAACTAAACCTAATGGGCCTCAAGAAACCCATTAATCTCTGCTGGAGCAGTTATTCTTTTGCTTAGAAGAGAAAGTCTGCAAACGGCACGACTTTCAATTAGAGTCGAACCGTTGATCTCGACGAACGACCGTTCCCGTGGGAACGCGTATTTGACCTCCCGGTCCCCGAAAATCAAACGAAGGATGGGCGTACAAGCCGAATTCTCCAAGAAAAAGAGTGACGAAACTTGTGGGAATGCGTACTCGATCGGACTCCAGCCTGTCATTCTCAAAGCCACTCGTTCATACTCCGCTT